GGGGGCAGTGCGTAGCCCCCCCAGATGCAGGTGCAGGCTGGATCCTGGCCAAGCCAGGAGCACAGACCCACCCAGCAGTGTCGGGCGTGACAGGTAGTGGCCAGAGGCAGGCCTCCCAACGAGCCTCCATCACCCCACACCCCACCTGGGCTGGAGGCGCAAAGTCTCCTACATCCTCCAGACCCCCATCCCAGGAAACAAGATGGCAGCCCAGGGCAGAGACCCTGTGGACGGCTTCCCACCTTCTCAGCCCCATCCGTTTTCCCCCACTCCCGCGGGGAGGGCTCCCAGGACAGCAGGGCTTGGCTCAGCTCCAAGGAACATGTTTGCTTTGGGAACAAGTCAAACACTTTTCTCATTTATTCCGGAGCGTGGGGTCTTAAGACGCCTGCTCTCTTCACATGGTATTTCTAGCACTCAGCCTGGGCCTGGGGTCAGTGCCTCAGAGCTCCGGGCTGCCCCTCCCCAAAATGCCCCCTTGTGGGGGACTAGACCCTGCTCTGGGCAGACTGAGCAGCGAAGGAGGACCAAACAGGGCTGCCTCTGGTTGCAGACGGGGTGTGGGGGCTGAGAGGGCCCCCTCCAGCCACACGGGAACGGCGGGGTCCTGGTCCCCATTCCAGCCTGGGGGGCGGAAGGGTGGCATTTCAGCAGCTGGGGGTGGGGTGATGAGGCGGGGGTTAGAATTCCTTGGGGCCCGGCTTCTGGGGCCCACGCACGCAGCCCCGCAGGCAGCCACCACCTCGCCCAGTGTTCGCCTCACCCAGCCGCTCCCTCTGCTGTCTGCAATCTCTTCTGCTCCCTTTGGGGGAGCCAGCCCCCGGCACCCCCTCACCGCAGCAGAAGAAACCTCCACTGGTCCCCATGCCCTCCCCGGCCTCTGGCCTCAGAGCCACCTTCAGCTGGCGGGGGGGCCCCTCTGCAGGGGACTCCCTCCCCAGAATCCATGCCAGAGCCCCCAGGGCACTCGGCACCTCCTTCCAGCCTCAGCCCCTCACACCTCCTCTGGGCTTGGCTACCTCCCCGCCGCCCGCCCACGGCCTGCAGCTCTCCGCCCACCCCTGCTCCCCTGCCCTCTGGGACAGGAGCTGCAGCCAGGAGGGTGGGGGAGCGGGTGGGTGCAGATGGGCGGGATGTGCTGGAGTCCTGGGTCCCCCTTGCTGCGCCAGGGGGCTGCGTCCAACATGCTCACTTAACACTGCAGGCTTCAAAAGTCCACACAATTATCGGACCTGGTGGGGCACCCAGGGCAGGCGCCAAATCGGGGCGCACCCGTGGGCAGGTGGCCAGTGGAGGGGAGAGGTTCAGACTCCCGAGTGGGTCCAAGTGGACGCGGGGCATCTTTAATGATTTGGGGAGCAGCATGAGGAGGGATATATGCAACCCGTGTGGGACCTGGCCACCAGCAGTCGATGGGGTGGAGCCGCGCCCACCTCAGCCAGCGGTCACTACACTGCCCGGGGTCCAACAGGGCTGGGGCAGGACCAGACGTCAGGCCTGTTACATGGCACAGCCAAGCCCCTGCCCGGCTGATCACCCCCATCCCTGAGGCCCCTTTGGGAGCCAGAATCTGTCCCCACACTCCCACTCCGGCAGGAAGAGAGCCAGCCCCTGCATAGCATCCACTCGAGGCCTTGGCCGGGTAAGCTCCACTGTCCTCACGTCACCAGAGAACATTCACACCCACAGGCCATGGGGAGGCACCTCAGTGCCCCCTGCACCTCAGGGAGGCCCTGCCCTGTGGGAAATCCAGGGGGGATCCCCACCTGCCCCCAGCGTGGCCATCACAGAGTGCTGGTCTGCATGAGCCCGTTGGCCTGGGGGTCGCGCCCAGGCATAGAGACCTCCTGCAGCCGGCTGCTCTTGTCGGGCCTCGGGTCAGTGATGTCTGCGTCCTCCACGCCGTAACCCTTCTGAAGGCACAGAACCTTCCGGAAGCTCTGCCGGAAGTTGTCGGAGAGGAATCCGTACAGGATGGGGTTGGCGCAGCTGTTGGCGTAGGACAGGATGACCACAAAGAAGTAGACGCCGGCGGAGGCGGGCTCCTCGGGCAGGATGAAGGCCAGGTTGACGATGTTGACAATGAAGAAGGGTAGCCAGCAGCCCACGAACACCACCACCACCACCACCACCATGCGCGTCACCTTGCGCTCCGACCGCCGCCGCCGCGTGCAGCCCACACGCACGCCCGACGCCTTCACCTTGACCACGATCAGCAGGTAGCACAGGCAGATGACCAGCAGGGGCCCGAAGAAGCCCAGCACGGAGGTGTAGATGATGAAGACTGCGCCCCAGAGCCCCACGGGCTCCGGCCAGCTGAGGTTGCAGGTGCCCCAGCCCTCCTGGATGTCGGCAAAGACCACCAGGGGCAGCGACATGAGCAGTGAGAAGGTCCAGACGGCCGCGCTGGTGAGCTTGGCCACGCGTGGCCGGCGCCACTGGGCGGAGCGGACGGGGTGCACCACGGCCAGGTAGCGGTCCACGCTCATGACGGTCAGGCAGAAGATGCTGGTGAACTGGTTGATGCCGTCCACGGTCATGACCAGACGGCACAGCAGAGACCCGAAAGGCCAGTAGGACACGGCGTTCTGCGTGGCCAGGAAGGGCAGCCCCAGCATGAACAGGACGTCGGCCATGGCCAGGTTGAGGATGTAGATGTTGGTGGCTGTCTTCATCTTGGCGTAACGCAGCACCACGTAGATGACGAGTGCGTTGCCGCCCAGCCCCACTGCGCACACCAGCAGGTACAGCACGGGGACCAGGACCGCCCGGGCCCCTGGCCAGCCCGCCGGCCCCGCCAGGGTCCCATTCTCACCACCCTCCGGGGCGGCCGGGGAGGCGTTCCAGCCGGCCGGCTCCAGGGTGGAGGCGGTTGGGAAAAGAGGCTCCATCGCAGCAGCTGGCGTCTGCAGGGAGGACCGGGAGAGCGGTGAGTGGGGCTGAGTGGCGGGGCCCCGCTCCCCCCGCCATCCGTCCGCAGGGGCGGGTAAACCAGATTAGCGCGTTCACCTCTTCCGGAATCACATTAAGCAAATTGTTTGGAAAACAACCCGAGAGGAAGGAGGGGAACTGTCGCTGCAAGGGAAGTGCTTGGGCGGCCCCTGAGCCGAGGCATCTGCCTGCAACGTCCTGCCCCTAGCTGCGCCCACCTGGGACGGCTCCCTGGCTTGGCCCTGGCCCTCACGACCTCGCTGCAGCCCCAAGGACCCGGGGGCGGGGGCTTTATCATCCCTGGCTTGTAGGTGCCCCACGGAGAGAGATGAGCCGGACAGGAGGGAGGCAAGGAGGCCAGGATGCCACTGGGCACAGAAAGCCTGGCTGATCCATGTGGAAAGGGCAGTGCCCCCCCCGCCCCCTCCCAGGCCATTCTGGAACCACGAGGAGGGTAGTGGGCCTTCCCTGGGTCAAGATGCTGGACCCCGGCCCCCTGGTGCAGGGCCTCCACATCCGAAGCTCAGAATGTCACTTTACGTACAAAAGGGATCTTCTCATATGTGAGAGTCCACGTGGAGGATGGTGGAGCGCTGGCTTCACTTCAGATGGAATAAAACTGAGAAGGCTTTGTAAGGATACTCAGAATGTGTCTGGATGGGTTTCGGATGCTCAGACAAGGCAGGGATAAAAATGCAGTGAGATAAATGTGGCTTCTCTCTGAGAAGTAAAATGAACAGGTGTCTATTTTTAAAATTACAAATCTCGGCTGTGAAAAAACACAGCCATTTGGACAAGAGCCACACAAGCGAGGATGAGGCCCAGCTGTGGATACAGTTGGAGAGAGAATCGTGGAATCGGAAAAGGGGCTGCTGGATGTGTGGGAGAGTCGGGCGGAGACAGCAAGTGCCAGAGAGCCGTGACAGACTGAACTCCAGTGGCTGCCTGGCTTCCAGGACAAGGACATTCTGCTGGGCAGGTCCCACAGGGAGTGGCAACGAGGACAGCACGTGTCCGTCAGCAAGAGGGGGGCTAGGGGCCAGCGTGCCTCAGCACAGACCGAGAGAGAGTCTGTCCACCCAGAGTCCCCACTCTGCACAGCACTCACCAGCATCGGGGCCAGACAGGCAGCGACTCAGTTACATTGTGGGGGCTGCAGTCAATGTCATGAAGCAAAATGTGTTGGACTGTCCCATGGAAAACCAACATGCTGTGTGAACTTCCACCCAAAGTACAGTAAAAAGTTGAAAAATAAAAAAAATAAAAAAACCAGTGGCACACAACAATAAATCTTCCTTCTTGCTTCCAAAAAAAGATAGAAAAGTTTAAACGAATTGTTGACGCTCCCTGTCAGTGGGGGAAGAGCTGTAGCAGTTGGGGGCGGGTGGTGGTCAGCAGACAGCCAGCCACCAGGAGACAGGTGGGCTCTGGGGGTGTCCAGTGAGGAGGGCGCCACCCAGCTTCAGAGGCCCGTGGACTAAACCCCTCCAAAGGAAAAACAAACAAACGTCCAAGAAGAGGCTTTTGGCTTATCCCAGGTGGGACCAGAGGGGGACTGGGGAAGCTGAGGGGACTGGGTCCGACTCCCATGGAGGACGAAGGGGGGCAGTTGGGTCTGACAGCCACTAACGCGGGCCCCAGGCCCCTGGGGCAGGCGGTGCTCATCCACATTTGATTTTAAATCAAACCAACGCCTTCTCTAGTATGTGGCGGTCCGGATGCTTGGAGCTCCTCCGAGGCTGCTCCCGGCACCCCAGGTTTCGGGGCCAGCAGCTCAGCCTTCTGGGCCCCCACCCAGCCACCCCCGTAGCACCCCGGCTCCCGGGCTAGACTCACAGCGGTGACGAACAAAGACAGGCCCAGGGTGCCGCGTCTGCCTGGGAACATAATTCTGCAGGAGCCATTACTCAGAAGCGGTTGTCTCAGTCAGAGAAATGACACTCGGAAAATCGTCCCTGGGCCCTTTTCCAGCACAAGTGGGGGAGCCGGTGGAGGGGTCGTGACACCCGCCGTGCGCAACGGCGGGGGGACCCACAGGAGGGGACCTGCCCACTGCCTGGCTCCGGGCACAGACTGGCCCCCCACCCGCACACTGGCCTTAGGTTAAGTCCCTCCTCGCCTCCGAGTCCTGCAAAGCTGCGGGGAAGATAAAGCAAACTCAGGAAGCAGGCACCCACAGCCTCGAGCAGGGGGACCCCGACTCAGGCCTCCCCTCTAGTGTGCACGGTGGGTCAGCCCAGGGGCGCAGTGGCTAAGGCAGGTTCTGCCATGACCTCCCCACCACAGTGACCACTGACAAGCTTCCCAACCCGTCTGCCTCTTCCGCAGAGGGGGTCAGGCCTCCGAGGGGTGGTCCGGGAAAGCCATAGCAGAAGGGGGCCTGGCTGACACGCGGCGCCCTGCCGCCCCTCCCCACCCACTCCCCATCTCTCAGGCAGCCTGCGGCACGGCAGTGTCTGCCTGCGAAGGGCAGCTGAGGCGCGTGGGCTGGTGTGACTGGCGTGGGGGGCACAGCCCCTCAGGGTCTCCATCCGGGGCCCAGGCCCACTCCACCCTGTGTCAGGAAGCCTGGGGTTGGTGCTAAATCCCTCATCTGTGCCATTGGCCACCTCTGCCAGGAAGCCCTCCAGGAGCCTAAGCCCCCCACAGGGGGTCGGCAGCCTCCTGGAAACTGGTTCACCTTTGGCAGTAGGCGCTCCAGGCCTTGCCCTTCCTAAGGGCCTCAGGCCGCTGGCAGACCAGGTACAATGAACAGGTGCGGGACCACGGGACACACACAGTTGTGAAGGTGGGAGGGGTGGGAGGGCTGCGGCAGACCAACTCCCAAACCTTGGAGAGGCAGTTCTGACCCCAGAGGGGCGGGGTGGCTCCCTGTCCAGGCTCCAAGGCAGGCTGCAGCCAGGCCCCCCAGTCTGCGGCGGCTGCCGGCAGTGGGAGCTGATTGCCACCCCCGCGCACTGAGGGCTTGAGCTCCGGTCCAGCAGTGTGCCCAGCCCTCCCCAGCCCCGCTGCCCCTCTTCCAGCTCCGGGGCAGAGCCATTCCTCCCTGACCCGGGCGCCCCGCAGCCCCGGGTCCCAGAGGCTGACAGATACCGGGAGAGGGGCGCCTGGAAGCCAGAGGGGAGGGTCTGGAGGAACCCAGGCTCGGGAGGGCGACCGACCGGGAGGGACACGGAGCAGCAGGGGAATCCGCGGTGGGGGCGGCAGGGGAGATCGCGCAGCAGGCAGGGCGGGGGGCGGCACGTTGTGCCCAGACCCGGGGGCAGCGGGGAAGCGGCGCGCAGGGACCGGCGAGAGCGGAGGAGGAGCAGGGCGCAGGGCGCAGGCGGCAGGGTCGGCAGGCGGCGGGCTCACCTGGGCGGCAGCGGTAGCGCTGGTCCCCGGAGCCCGTGTCCGCGCAGCGCTCCTGGGGCGCTGGAGCCGAGGGCAGGCGGCGGCGTGGGGCGGGGCGTGCACGCGGGGCGGGGACACTGCGCCCGAGGGGGCGGGGTGCCAGGGGGCTCCCGGCCGGCCCTGGCCACAAGCTGCTTGTAGCAGCGACAGCCTGTTGGGCGGAGCCCCCCTTTCCCAGGGCTGCACTGCGCTCTGGACCCCGTGGGGACTCAGGGTGCACACCGCAGGGGTGTGACACCGTGTGGAGGGGCTGAGCCCAGGCCTGCACCACTCCCTCTCAGCCGGGGGTGGGGTGGGGGGGGTCCCTGCACCTGGGGGGCTGTAGGAGCAAGCTGCCTACTGCCCACTTCTCTATGTATCTGCAGTAGAGTGGAGGTTGGCACTGGGGGGACAGGGCACCCAGCTTGTGCCTGGTGGAGAGGGGTCCATTTAGGGGCTGCTGCTGGCCCTGGGGCAACCTCCCAGCCAGACTGGGATCTATGCTCAGGAAGTCACCAGCCATCCCCCCATCCCACAGGTGTCCCCAGACGCCTGTCCTCCTGGTGTTCCCAGCTCCCCAAGGACTGCAACGACCCCCCCCCCACTGTGGACATCTGCCCTCCCTGATATGAGGCCAGACCCCCAGCTCTAGGGAGACGGAGTCAGAAAGTAGAAAATGTCCCCCCAGGGCAGCCCTCCTTGCCAGCCCCTCAGCTCCCCCATAGGCCCTGCTGGCTTCGGAGGGGCAGCTGCCACCCAGCCCTGTTGGCAGAGGGCACAGCCACCCTCACAAGGCTCAGTCCCCAGGGGCTGCAGGCACCACAGCCTGCAGGCATGCCACCCTTAGGCCAGATGGCCCTGCCAGTGGGAGCAGTGGGTGCCAAGCTGGGTGACAGAAACCAGGGCTGGTGCGTGGCCTGCCGCGTGGCCTGTTATTAGCACAGCAGGGTCTGGGAAAGCTGGGGGCCCACGGAGCCAAGCCTGCTCTCCATGGTAGGGGCCAGCCTGCGGAAAAACAGAGGAGACCCCAGTCCCCTGAGCCCAGCTGCACACACACATGCACAGAGACGGCGAGCGAGGCCCAGCTCCGTGAGCTCGGTGAGCACAGAGAGCGGAGAGGGAGGTAGCGAACCAGGGACCCGGCTGGAAACGGGGGACCTTCAGCTTGAGATAAAACCCTCAGGGGAAGAATTGGGGCAATGAGGGAGTCACACCCTCCACGGAGCGGCAGGCCAGGCGGACCCCCGCCCCAGGGACACTCTGCAGAGGTCTTACCCAGAGCAAGGGACACTTGCTGCCTGGCAGCCATGGCAACAGGGCCGGCCGGCCAGACTCCTGGTGACAACCCCAGCCCCGTCTTCAGGGGACCCCGCCCCAGGGTGCCGAGCTGGCTGTGAGCCTGCGTGGTCTGAGCCCACCTTTCTGCACTGGGGGCCAGCAGCTGCAGGGCATAGAGCGTGTCCCCTCGCCCCTCTCTTCTCACCCCTCGGCACCCCGCCCGCCCAGAGAAGGCTCAGCTACTGTGCTCGGGCCCCATGCTTATTCAGAAGCTGGCAGAGCCTGAGTCCAGCTCACCTGGAAATACCTGGGGCCTCCTGTCTGTGTCCCCAAGAAGGTCCCCAGCAGAGGGAGGTGGGGACCGGGGGTGGTGAGGACATCGTGTGGCACTCTCTGTCCTCCAGCTACTGAGCCTCTGGCCCCGCGGTGCCCTCATCTGGCGCACCCACACCCTCTTCCCCAATGCAAATGCCCCCTCCTCCAGGAAGCCCTCCTTGGCTGCCCCCACTCTTGAGTTCCTCGATCCGCCCACTCCTGACCACAACGTCTGTCCTGGTTGCAGGACATGAGCCACCCTGCAGACACAGCCTGGAGCTCTCTGCTTTGTCCCCAGGCCTGGTGCACAGCAGGTTCCCAATAAACCCTGACAGAGTAGAGAGACCACCCCTCCCTCCTGAGATCTGTGGATGCCTGGTGGGTGGGCGGGCATGTCAGGGATGGTGTAGGGAAGAGATAGTGGTTTTAAGCCCTATGATTCCTGTGGGGCATTCTGAGTGAGCCCTGTGCAGTAGGGAGGACCCCTATTCCACCTGGAGCAAAGGGCAGCTCCCCTGGGGCCCCCAAGACCAGGGGCTAGGCAGAAAGAGGCAGCCCCTAGAAGGGGACTGAGTATAGCGCTGTGTGGGGAGTGCTGAGCCCCTGCGAGGGCCTGACCCTCATGCAGTGGTCTCAGGTACTGGGGGTCATCAGAGCTCTGGACGGGGGCAGGGGAGGGTCAGATGTTAAAATGCAGCTTCCCAGACCACCCTGCCTGGTCATACCCCATGGCTGGCTCTGGCCAAGCCCGGAACCCCCAGGCACCCCTGTTGCCTGCAGGCCTGGAGTGGCCATCCTGGGTGAACCTTGTGATCTCCCCCAGCCCCTCCCACCAACCCATCCAGGCTCTCGGCCACTGCCCCAGCCCTGACCCCTGCCGGCTGCCGATCCCTGCCTTCCTCCTCCTCCAGGTCCCGTCTGCCCGAGAGCCCCCCACCCCCCAGAGCCCATCTGATTCGGAGGGACAGGTGAAGGGGCAGCCGGGAGAATTAATATCCCAGAGGTGAGAGCAGGGGGAGAGGGGGCGTCTGGAGGGTACAGTGAAGGATATCCCATGCAGGTGGGCATAGAGGAGGGTCTGCCTCTTCAGGGCTCAGAGCATGGGGCACAGCTGAGCCCTGGGTCCAGAGCTGTCCCCACTGCAGGGAGTGTTTCCACAGTGCCCCCACTCACCCCCGTGCAGCCTTGGGCAGGACTCCCCTCTCTGAGCCCTGGTTTCTTTAACTGAAAAAGGACCACCTCCGTTATTCTGGTCACCCCCAAAGCAGGCTGCCATACCTGTTTGTCTGCTCGATGACTTAATACGGTTAATACAGACTCCACCTAGGGGCCTGGCCCTCTGTACCCAAGTCACACGAGCTCTTCAGCCCCTGTGGGGTCATTCACACCGCTCTTCCCCTGCACCGTGTCCCCAGGCCAGAGAGGGCATTCACGAGGTCACTGCCCTGTCACACCTGCTCCGTTCATGCTGAGTGACCTCGGGCTGGGGGACCGTCCCCTCAGTGCAAGATGGCAGCTGGGCCAAGCCAGAGGGAAGGCAGAACTTCCAGCGTCCGATCTGTGACAGCCCGGCGTGGCTGGCAGGCGTCCAGAGCAGGGACCACCTGTCCCTTCTTCCTGGGCCTGGGCTGAGCTCACCCCTTCCACCCCGACCCCTAGAGCAGCAATGGCGTCGGTGCCCCTCCCAGCCCCCCAGGGGTTCACCGACCTGCACTCGGCTCGGTCCAGTGGATTTAATAAGGCTGGCGGCCAGTCCTAATGCGATCGACTGCCTGACTGCTGGGAGACGCTGTGGGGCTCGGCGGGCCAACGGCGGGATGGACCGTTCTGGATCCGAGGCAAAGGGCGGGGAGGGTCCACCGCTGGGGGAACGGGGTGCTGGGTGGGGCCCTTGGGGGGGCACCCAGACCTCCAGCAGCACAGCCCAACCCCACGCAGGTAGGGCACCAGCCTCACGCCCGTGGCCAGGACCCTCCCTCCTCCTTTAGCTTTTTAATTAATGGACTTTCGTTTTTGGAGAGTTTTAGATCGACAGGAAATATGAGCAGAAAATACTGAGGTCCCACATACGCCCCTCTCCACAGTCTGGGTCCCTTCCTTCCTTGGGCATCTTGCGTTTCTGTTGGACATTGGTTACAACTGATGGACTGATACTGTTAACTAGAGTCTAGCTCACGTTGGGGTTCCCCGCTGTGCTGCTACAGTGGGTGAATCGGTATTGAAGCATCGTCGTCACCTAGGGGCCCCGGTTCAGACTGGGGTTCAGAAACCAGCCCCGTTGCCCACAGAGCAGATCCAACTCGGGGCGCCCCACATGGCACAGGGTAGAGTCGCCCCAGGATGATGCTTTTCTAGGCTGTCGTCTTGACGGGGGCACATCTCCAGGCCTCTCCACCGAGCTGCTGAGTGGGTCTGAACCCCCAACATTTGAGGTTCGGAGCTGGTCACAAACTGCCTGTACCGACCAGGGATCTGCGGAAGGAACACAGGTATCCACACACCACGTGCTGGGGGACGTCTTAGCTTCTTCCTCCTCCCGTCTGGTTGGGCCTGTGCTCCAGAGCCCACCGTCCCCACACCTCTGAGGGCCCTGTTTAGGGGTGGGACTCAGTGTTGGGCTCATCTCCCTGTGTCCCTGGCCTGGCACAGGGCCGACAGGTGGCAGGGTCTTGCCCAAAGAGTGTGCGGCCTCCACACCACAAGACAGAGAGAAGTCAGCCTTCAGTGGACAGAGCCACGGCCCGCCTCCAGGAAGCCCCTGTCCTGGGAGCTCTTGAGAGTGTTAGGGCTTCGAGTGTCTGCGCACAGTAGGGCTGGTCCATGCACACACCTCCCACCCGCACTCCCATGCCTTTCATTCTGTGATAATTCCCACATGCTTCCCCCCGGTCTCTAGTCTCTCTTGGGATACCCCCTGGTTGGGCAGATGCCCAGGTTCCAGCCCCATGGGGCTGGCCTGTAGCTGCTGGTCCCAGGGCTCCTGGGTCCTCTGTGGCCACCAGCCTCCTCCGTGGAGCAGGGCCGGGGGCACACGTGTCCCTTCTCACCTCTCCACCTCGCTCTTCCCCGCACGCTGCCTTCAGGCCAGACCTCTGCCTGCTTTGTTTCCACGTTAGGGCGCATCTCAATGGACTCATCAGAAGCTCGATTAAGATGCTTAATTTCCCGCTGGATGCAAACCCGGAGGAGTCCAGTCTCCTTGATCCGCTTGCATCAATCAGAGCCCAGATGAATGAAGAACCCATCGCTCGTGGCTGCAGACAGAAAGCGGTCTTCTGGGCGCTGGGATTCCGTTCCACATGGGAGAGTCCAATGGCACTGGAGAGGGGCTTCCTGGTCAGGCCCAGAGAGATCAACAAGCCAGCACGGACTCACAGGGCCACATGACGCTACCGGGGTGACTTCATCTGTTGTCCCGATTCTGACAGACTGGCGGAAACTCAAACAACAGTCGATTCCTGGCACTCAAGTCTCGGAGCCGCCCCCGCCCCCGCCAGGAGGTGAGAGGGCCTGGGCTGCCCCTGGGGCAGGCCCACCCTGACAGCCACCCCACTGATGCTGGGAGAGGCCTGCTCAGCCCCTGGCCCCCCGGCCGGCCCTCGTCTGGAGGTCCACGCCCAGGGCCCAGGGGCTGCTGTGGGCTTGCCCCTCCACTGGGTATCTACACACCCTCCTCAGGGTTAACTGCGCGACTTCTAGCCCAGCCCCCAGATCTGGGGGTTCTGAGCCTCTCCGTGTGGCCCATCGAGGCCAGGGCTCAGAGAGCACCTGCACTCAGGGTCTGCCCAGGGCAAGGTGGGCTCGGTGGCCCCGGGTGGTCAGTGAACTCAGGTCGAGGCTTAGACACCCTCCTCCTGCCCCTCAGCCTCGGCTCACCGCAGCCTCCCCGCCCCAGGGACGCGTCTCCCACAGGAAAGTGCCGGCCTGCTGGGTGCAGACCTGGGGCCGAGGTTCCAGTGAGGGTGGAATTAGCTCACCTGCCAGCATCAGCCCCCCCCCACACACACACACACACTGCCCAGCTCTGGCCGCAGCCTCTGGGGGGTGACTAATGACTGACCTAATTCCATCAGAGCTGAGTGGTGGCATGAGGCCTAGCCCTGTGACCAGGGCAGGATGTCTAGCCGCCTGGTTCCTGGCTGCGGTTGGTGGCAGGGGAGCCCACCGGGGGGGGGGGGCACCAGGGTTGCATCTACAGGGCTCCCAGACCCTGGGCATCAATCCTGAATCTCACTCACCCCTAAAATCCTGCAGCCAAAGGGCTCCACGGCAGAACTGAGACCCCAAGGCCTGGGGCTGAGGGTTCCTGAGTCAGCAGCAGCCGAGCCCCTGAGTGGAATTCACACGCAGGTCCCTGCTGACCCTGGTCCTCCCTGAGCTGTCTGTGAGGTGGCCCTGCAAAGCCCAGGAGGAGGAGGGCCCAGGTGACACCCCACGGAGACAGAGCCTGGGGACGAGCTCAGGACCAGAACACAAGAGGCAGCGCTGGGTGCCCCCAGGGCCCAGGCCTGAGTGCAGAACCAGAGCCAGGCTGGCTTTCGGGTCCACTGGGTGGGCTGCTGGGTGCCGGAGTGCGCTCAGCCTCCAGGTCACAGCTCTGAGTCCCAGGGGGCAGTGGGCAGCAGGCAGGGCCTCCATTGGCAGCCTGCAGTGTGGGGCCCAAGGACTTGGCCTGCCCCATCCCACCCCGCCCACAACCCTCCAGCCTCCCCCTCTCTCAGGTCCTCAGGTTGGGGAGGGGTCCTGGTTGCTGAGAAGTGACCATCAAAGGCTCCCACCAAGCCCCTGGGAGCACTCAAATGTGGTCCTCCATGCCCCACAGGACTGACACGATGGCTGCGGTGATGGGCCCAAGTACAGAGAGGATGGGAAGGCTGGAGAGGACCAGGCAGGGTTTCTGCTGCACGTGGGGTCGCTGTGGGTGAGAACTGAGTCCACAGCCCCTAACGACAACAACACAAGGCACTGGCCCCTTCCTGCAGAGGCTACTGTCAAACCCACCCGTGGGCAGCTGTGGGTGGGACCTGGATGAGCGCTCACCGCTCATTGGAGCAGAGCTGGCTGCGTGCGGAGCAGGAGGGAAGGGACTGCCCTCTTTCCAAGCTTTCTGGGGTGAGGGTACCGTCCCCCCTCCACTGTGCGGTTACGGGAACTGGGGCTCCCGGGGGAGCTCGACCTCCCTGCTGCCAAGACCACGAGGTGCTGGCGTTAACCTTCGAACCAGGCCCTCAGGGTGGGCCCTGCCGGCTGCCCACGGTTACCTGGACTCCCTGCCACCCAGGCCCCTCCCATCCCCTCACCCTCGGGCCTCTGCCCTGTGTCTCCCGCCCCTGTGGGGTCCTGACCCTGGGGACACTCAGGAGAGGGCCTGGGCTGGACACCCGGGGCGGGGCCTGAAGCTCAGCCCTTACCCCCAGCCCATGTCCCAGACATCAAACTGCCGGGTTTTAGGTTTCACGGCCTCTGGCGCCTCCTGGTGGACATGGTGGTCATTGCGTGAGGTTGCTGACGGAGATGAAGCAGCAGGGAGGAAGGGCCAGTGGATAACGGCGTCACCTGTAAACCGGGGGCTCCAGGTGGGTGTCAGCCTCACCTGTGCACTGGGGGCTCTGGATAGATAACGGCGTCACCCATACACCGGGGGCTCCGGGCGGGTGCCAGCGTCACCTGTGGACCCGGGGCCCTGGGGGGGTGTCGGCATCAGCTATAGCCTCGTCCTTCCGGGACCAGGGTGAGGGCAGGGCCCATGGAGCTAAGGTCTACATGTCTCTCACAGCCCAGCACCAGAGGCCAGGGATCAGCTCAGAGGGTCCCAGACCTGTGTCCCCAGCTCCAGCCCTGGGGCCGGCATCACCACCCTGCTGTCCATGGCACCAGGCACTTCCTGGGCTGCCCTGCCTTGGGTGCCTCCAGTAACTCAGAGACCCCTTGACTGAAGACTCCTTCCCCACTGGCTCCCCACAGCCCTTTCCCTGTCCAACAGGCCTCCCTGGGGGGGACCCTTGTCCTGGGGGCCAGTGGGGCCAGTTGAAGGAACCCTCAGGGTGTGGATGGCAGAGAGCCCAGGAGAGCACTCAGGGGCTTCTGTGGCCAGCCAGGCCCACTCACACTGGCCCTCCTGGCCGGTTGGGGTGGTCAGCTGTTGGCCACCGTGTGTGTGTGTGTGTGTGTGTGTGTGTGTGTGTTTCTGTGTGTCTGTCTGTATGTGTCTTGGTGTCTGTGTCTGTGTGTCTGTCTGTCTGTCTGTCCGTCTGTCTGTCTTTGTGTGTGTGTCTGTGTGTGTCTGCATGTCTGTCTCTCTGTGTGTGTCTGCTGTGTGTGTATGTGTGACGAGGAGCCCTCATGAGCAGGGCTAATTGCAGCCTGGCCCCAGCACCTCCGGCCTGCCTGGCCCCTGGGGGTCGCTCCCCCAGTCAGGGCAGCTGCCTGGACACCTGCCCCTGCAGCCCACCTCAGAGTTCACCTTCCTGATTTTGCAGCTACTGGCATTCACAGGAGGCTTGTTCACTGCGTGCTGGGGGCACCCACCTACAGGGAACAGCGTGCAGTGCCCAGCCCTCCCCAAAGACAGTGGCGGCCACACCCCAGCTCCTACTCTCCCAGGGGCACCCTGGAAGCAAGTCTCACCTGCTCTCCCCATAGGGGCTGAGCCCAGGTGACTGGGACCCCATCCTAAGACCCCACCCCTTCCGGGTGTCTGTGTGTCTATGCTGTCCCCCTCAGCTCCTCTAAGCCCCTTCCCCACCCAGGACCAGACTACGTGTGCTGCCCTGCCCCAGCCAGCCTCCCCTGGACCCCCCATAGGCCAGGTGTGACCACGCGGAGCAAAGCTGGTGCTCGCCGCTGGGGGGCGCCTGTGCAGCGTGCAGAAACTCCCCGCTCGTGGCCTGGAGCCCGGCTCTGCCGCTCACCCCATCGGTGGGGCTGGGGACCTCCTGTCTTCTCCTGCTTCCCATGTTGGGATTTGGATCCTGGTTTCAGGCCAAGACCCTGGGTCCAGGGCCGCCCGCCGGCCTCCCTGGCAGGTCAGTGGCATTGTAGAGGCCGGATTGTAGAGGCCGGATTGTAGAGGCCGGATGTGGGGTCTCCACTTGGAGACAGCGCAGGACCCTCGTCTTAGGGTCCTGTTGGGATTTCGGGTTGAGGGGCTGTCACAGTCTGGTGTCACAGGTCCTGGGCCTGTCTGGCCCTGTCTCGTGCCATCCCGAACCTCCCCCTGTGCAGCCAAGGAGAGGAACTGAGGCTGAAAAGGGGGCTGGGAAGCCCACTCGGCCGGGCCTAGGAGTCGAATGGGAGCCAGCCTGGTGGGGACCTGCAGACCCTTGTCGGCCTACTGTCCAAGGAAGACCTGCAGCAGGTCAGTGCTGTGGCCAGGAGGAGCGGGGGCCGTGGGCTGTGCTGGCGGGACTGTCCACCCCCAACACCAGCCCAGCAGCCCATGGCTACAGCAGCTGGCTGGCCACCCTCCCAGCACCCACTGAACACACCTGCTGTGGCCGCTGGTCCTGAATCCCCAAATCCCCAAATCCCACCAGACCGGCTGCCTGGCACAGTGCGTGTCCTCAGCCCAACAGGCAGCCTGTCCTTTTTTGAACTGACAGTGGGGCCTGGTGTCCCCAGGAAGAGCCACCACAGGGTCTACAAACAAGCTTTTTCCAAGGGACAGTGTTACAAAGATGCTTGAACCAACTCTGACGACCGAGTGGGCAGAGGACAGAGGCCTGGATGCTGCTGTTGGGGCTCATCTGGTGGCCACTAGAGTGGCCAGGACTTGTCCCCTCTCTGCCTGCCGACACGGATGCACAGAGCCGTGGCCTGGGCAGGGGCTGGAAGGGGGAGTCTCTGACACTCTAGTGGCCGCCGTTGCTGGTGCCTCACATCTGGCTGTGGATGTCACGTTGTCTCCCCTTGGGGTCACTTGGAGGCTGCTCTACTGGAGAATTCCCCCCTGGCCCGGGTGATTGGGGACCTGCACGGCTCAGGCCAGGGAGCAGGGTGTTATCTGACAGCAAACCAGCCCTGGGGACCCTCCGCTGTGAGCGGTGCTGTGGGAGCCCCCCAGGGGCGCCCTGATCTGATCACTGAGGCATCATCATATTTGAGTTCACGGACTCGGGGGTGTTTGGGGAGGGGAGGGATCTGGGGCTGCAGTCTGCCCACGTCCATGTCCCCCGCGCCCCCCTCGTTCTCCCCACGGCAGCATCTGTGGCCACTGTAAGTGATCCTCTGCCCGTCCTGGGCTCTGGGCTGTGCTGGCCCCCGAGCCTCCGGCCCAGCTGTTGCTTAGAAGGCCGTGTCTGTCCACAGGGCCAACAGCTGCAGGCCCGGAAGCCCCCCCGCAGAGCAGGTGTGCCCCCCAAGGCCCAGCCTGGCCACCAAGGACTGGCCCGGGAGGCAGGCCCTCACCCTCATCTCCGGGTCCTCCAGACCTGGGGGCCGCTGCCCCTCCCAGGACCACGGGTGAGGCCGGCTGGCACTCCACGGGCCAGCACCAGAAACGGCTGCTGCAGCACCAAGAGACTCACAGAGCCAGGAGGCCTGGTGCAGGGACTGGGCCCGCGGTCCCCAGGGACCAGAGGCATGCCCGCCCTTGGCTGCTGGAGCCACAGCAGCTGGTCAACGGCTGGGGCGGCAGAGGGGCCACCGCCTCTTCACAGAGCCACGCGGGGCACACATCGTGTGCTTCCCGCCCTTCCGTGCTCAGCCCACACCTGCCTGGTGCCACCCCTGGCCCCTGCTCCCCTCTTTCAAGCCTGGTCACCTCCACAGTCCGCAAGTGACCAGTGTCACCCTGAACGGGGTTAGACTGTATCGAGGGGCTCAGACATTAGGGTAAAACCTGAATCATCCACTCTGCTGCTGTCCTAGGGGGGCAGGGCCCCCAGCTGGGGCCCCCCTGCACAGAGGCAACCATGGGCCACCTTGCCAGCGTTGACTCCAGCATGTCTGCAGCTCTTTGGGATGGCACCACTCAGTGCTCTGAGAACAAGAACCCCCGGATGGACTCCGCAGGCATGCACACTGAGGGACTGGCTTCAAATTGACCTCCCGGGCACAGAGCAAGGGTGGGGCAGGAGTGAATCAGGCCACGCCAAGCTCCTAAGCGGGGCCCTTGGGGACTGCAGGATGGACGGATGGCATGAGAGACCATAGATAGGAGCTGAGGACATGGAGGGGGTGCAGGGACTGAGGAGATGGCACTGAGGGCCTTAGGGAGCTGGGGCGGCCATAACCACAATCTCCTCCCCTGCAGAGCGAGAGACTGACAAGGTAGAGGGGCTGGCACCCCTTGACACCAGTTGGTCCTGCAGACCCCTGGGACCCCTGAGGGGCTGACCTCCTCCAGAGAGGAGCTCAGAGGGGCTTGGGGGCAGGACAGCCTCCACGGTAGGAGTTCTGGGAAGGAGGGAAGGCCTGCGACATCTCTCAGGGACCATAGCAGGAGACTGGGGCTGCCTACCCACCAGGGTAGCCTGGGCTCAGACAGAGCATCTGAGGCTGCCTCGAGAGGTAGCATGTCAGGGCTTGTGAAGCTGAGTCCGCAAGAGTGCAGGGCTCAACTGGTGATGTCTGCCATGGGTACTGTATGGGGAGTGGTACCACGTGTGTCAAGTGTGATTGGTGATGTCTGCCATGGGTGCTGTGTGGTGAGTGCTGTCACATGTGTCAAGTGCGATTGGTGATGTCTGCCAGGGGTGCTGCAGTAGAGAGTGGTATCACCTGTGTTGAGTGTTTGCCATGTCCGGCCAGGAGGGAGAAGGGTGAAGCAGCCAACCTCTAGAACCAGCCCAGCCTGGGACAGCACAGGGGCCTCTGAACTGGGGTCCAAGCCACCCAGGGCATAGTTCAAGGCCGATTGCCGGTGTCCAGCTCTGAGTGGACTGCACAGCAATTTGATCTCCAAGACCCTGGGGACCAAAGCCACTTTTCTTTCCCGAGAGACCTAGAGGACTTGGTGGGCTGTAGGCCAGAGGAGGCGGGGGCAGTCACCTCAGCTTCCGTGGCCCAGTGTCCTCCTCCCCCAGGGCCAGACGTGAGTAATCAGACAGACACACTCCCAGGCCCCCGCGCCCGCCCACCCCATGACGGCCCAGCACCCGCTGCTGCTGCCCACCTCGGAGGTGCAGACATCCTTCCCTCTCGCTGCCCTACACCAAGTTCATCGGCCGCCAGCCTCCAGGACAGGCCCCTGGTGGGGCCGGAGCAGCAGGGCACCAGGACCAGCCAGCAAGGGGCCTCAGAGCCTCCAACAGGTGACACCCCGTGCCTTTGTTTGCTCCCAGCCCTTCACGCACCTGATGATTTTATGGTAACAGCTCAGTCCCCAAGGCCTGTCTGCTTTCCCTGTCTGCTTTTCCCATCCCTCCAAACCGGGGAATGTTGATTTGATCCCTTCTCCACGCAGAAGTTTAATAACACAGCCGCAGGTCGGGCGGCTCTGTGTTTCCGCATCTTTGCCAGACCCTCGTGTGTCTGCGCCGGCTGGCCACATATCAGTTTCTCTCTGAAGAAGTGGTTTTGCTATTAACATCAGTATTTCAGCGAAATTGTTCCCCCAGCCTCGTCACCGGGCCCAGCTGCCCGGAGACGGTGGCCACTCCCCGGGGCTCACTAGTTCACCCAGAGGTCACCTGCCCAAGTACCCCAGCCAGGACACGTGGGGGAGCAGGCCTGGACCCTTCTGTGGACCCCTGGGGCAGATCTGGCTCCCTGGGTCTGCGTGCCCATCATGTTAAGGACGTCTCTGCGCAGGCCAGGCCTGGCGCCCACAGGAAGACTCTAAAGAAGGGTGAACACTCATTGCAGGCCTACTGTGTGCCCCCGCAGCTCCCCTGGTCTCTCAGTTTGACAGTCGGGACCACCCCCTTTTGGTGGTATGAGCTCTGAGCTGGACGGTCCCTGAGCTAATCCCTGGGGAGGCTCCTCATGCCCTGGGCGCTGGTCAGAGCCTCACTGACTGTGCTCACATTCTCTGTGCAGTAATCTGATGAGCAAACTCTCACCTTCATTGCTCAGATGGGGAAACTGAGGCCCAGAGAGCCCAGTTACTGCATCTGGGGGTCCACTGTGCACAGGTGGTGCCTCACTGCTCCTCTTAGCCTGCCTGCTCCCCCTGCAGATGGTGGGTCCCCCAGCCCGGCTGGCCCACCATCCACCCATGGGGCCTCCCCATGCTGGCTCCAGGGTGGGGACCCACGCAGGGGCTGTCCACCCCAAGCCCAACCCAAGGCCGGCCCTGCCCCTCCTCCGCAGTGTGGCTTTGGGCGACCTTCCCCCAGCCCCACTTCCTCCTTGCAGGATGGAGAACTGGGGGTGGGGGTGTCATGTGACCCTAGCGTCCTGGATGCAGAGTGTGGTGGGGCAAGAAGGGCTTTGGGACAGGGCTGGAAGCTGCCAGAATTTTAGATAGTCTACAGTGGAGACTGGCTCCCAGGGCGGGACGTGGGGGACAGGCAGAGGCCCAGACCTGGGTGGAAGGTGGGTGCTGACTCACTGCAGCCAACGTGCCCCCCAACCCCCAACTTTAAGGGTGCTCGAGGCTTAGGGACAGGTTCCTGGCGTCCCTCCTTCCTTCAGCCCTGGACTTGTCTTGGCTGCCCAGGGGCCAGCCACCAGCCCTGGTTCTGAACCGGGTGTGTGTGTTGGGGGGCTTGTGGGGCGTTGATGAAGCAGGGACAGTCCAGGGCTCTGGTTGTGACTGTTGGGGGTCCACCTGCCCCCCTGGCCTGGAGGGCCCAGGCCTGTCCACCAGGGCAGCTCCCATTGGAACCAGAGTTCCCAGCAAAAGGGACACTGTTCAGGGGGCTGGCTCTGGGCACAGGGCACCTGCTCCGGGGGACAGCTCTGGGCTCGGGGACCTCCCTCCCAGGGTGGGCTCTGGGCACAGGGAGCCCGCTTGGGGGCCCAGCTCTGGGCACCTGGCACCAGGCCCTCTGCCCTTGTGGGTTCACCTCACTTAACCCACCCATCATGGGGCGGCAGGTGTGAGGGCCGTTCCCTGTGTCACAGGGAGGAGACGGAGGCCATGGGTTGGGGGACAGAGAGCTTTCCCCAGGTCGAGTCACCAAGTGTCTCCCTCCTCTCCCGTTCAGCCCCCTCTGGACGGCGCCAGTCAGGGTCCAGGATTCCTCCCCCAACCGTGCTGGGGTCCCTGAAGGCTGAGTAGGTGCTCGGCAAGCCTTAGTGGAGGGACCCATCCTGGGGGCTGGCCCTGCCGTGGGGAGCGGCCTCGGGGGAGGCTGAGGAAGGCCAGGTTTATTGGGCGACGTGAGGGGGCCCGCGGCCGGCGGCTCTCCGCTTGTGGAGATTTCCGCACCTGCAGCCCGTCGACCAACACCTCTGCCAACACCAAGCACCGCCAGGACTGATGACAGAGATCGACGGCCCGGCCGGGAGCCCTCAGGGCTGCAGCCACCTCCTCTCGGTCCCCGCACCGAGAGTGACAGACACACTCCCCAGCCACCTGTGCTGCCGGTAGACATGTCTGTCGGCCCCTAGCCTGTGTCTGGGCTGCGGTGGACCCTCAGACCCCCTGCCAAAGGAGAATGTGGTTGAGACAAAGTGGGAGGGGGCCACCAGGGGCTGGGAGAGGAAAGGGGGAAACAACCTTAGATACGGACACGTGCATTGAAAAACAAAGTTATGCTTGAAACTCACAGCGTTTATAGTCTCCCAAGTGCTTTGGAGGTGTGCTGCAAGGAGCCCTGGGCAGTGCAGGAGGTGGACAAGCTCAGCCGCCCACCAGAAGGTTCCAGGTTCAAACCCACCCAGAGGTCCCTCGGGAGAGTCCTGCCGATTTGCTTCGAGAAAATTAGCCACTGAGACTCCCTCAGAGCCCGGGTCTAATCTGACCACATGGGGTCGCCGTGAGTTTGAATCAACACGACGCCAACTGTTTGGCTCTTTGGTTTTGGTCTTAAGGCATCTGAAATGACAGAATTCCTCACAGTCTCGTTTGGGGCTTTGATTCCGCCGGGCCGGGTCTGTCCTGCCCGGACGTTAAGCTGGGCGTAAAGCCTGTGGTGGTTCCTGCTCACTGCCCTGGAGATGCCCTGACTCCCCCTCACGCACACGGGACCCTGCCCCGCCCGCCTTTCCCACGGTGGATGGGGTGGCACCCTCGCCGTCCGCGGGCCTGCCTTTGGCTGATTTTCTGACCCTCGGGCCTGCTCTGCTGGTCCGTCTGAGGCTGGAAGCTCTGTGGACCCCTGTTCTGCATCCCAGCAGCACACGACAGACAGACTCCACGGACAGACAGGCTGCACATGAGATGCCTCGGCCGGGAACCAAACCTGGGTCTCTCGAACGGGAGGCGAGAATCCTACCGCAAAATCACCACTGGGCTCTGGGCGTAGCGGCCAGAAAACCCAGTGGTGGTGAAGGGAGGGCCGGGAGGGACAGTGCCTGGCACACGTACCCTGGGGCCTGCAGAAAGCAAAGCAGCTGCTGGCAGAGCCTTGAATGGGGGCACCTCTGAGGGGCCCCGGGTGCCTGCCTGAAGGTGGCTCCTCCTTGTCCCCTCAGAGCACCTGGGCTCCCTCCTTGGGTGGCACGTGTCCCCAGGTCCATGGGACTCCTGAAC